GTGTGACTATCCCATAGGCCTTAAAGCAATCAGTACCTAACATTTTTAAAATAAATATATACAAATAAAAGAAAATATATGTACAAAATTGTAATTGCAATCGGGAAAATTCCGTTTTATTTGCTTTGTGTGAGAAATCCTCTTTATTTGAACCATGTGGCTGATTCTATTTTTCGTAGCTGTGAAAACGTGTTGTATTTGTTTAGTCTCTCACCCTTACAACGAAGATTATCAAGTATCAAGAATAAGTCATAAAGGGTGTCAAGGGTATTTACCCAGCCCTCTTGCAAAGTTTTCCAGTGTTCCAACATTGAAGATTTTCAGAGTCGTATCATCGAATGAACTTCATGCGAAAATAGTCAGGTCACTAAGCGCAGTTTAGATTTTTGTATGACGTAAAAAAACTGTCTGCCTAATAACCTACTTGCCTTTTGAAGGCAACCTCATGTGAGGGACTTAATCTTTCAATTCAGATTGCTGAAATGTTTTCCACAGCAAAGAAAGTTTTCTAAAAACGCACAGTATATAAGAGGTGGGACAGCAGTGGAGTAAGGGAAAGAGGGCGTTCCTTATCACATGCTAAAGCTTGTTCAGTCACCCCCGTTAACTTTGTGAGCCTACATACATACATACATACATACATACATACATACATAAACTTTATTTATCCTCGGATTTTAGTGTAGCTTACATAGCTAGTATCTCCGATCCTAACTAATTTTAAAAGTTGCAACATATATAATATAATATTAATTAATGTAGTATTAACTAAAACTGTGCACTAACAATTTGCGCTTAAATTCACTATAATCTACATTCTTTCTAAAGTGATCAGGTAGAGAATTCCAGTACTTAACAGATGAATAGCTAAAGGCATTTAGACCATATGTGGTTGTAGACGGCTTAGGAAGTGATAAAATATTAGTACCCCGTAGGGAGTAAGCAGTAGATCTTAACTTGATCAGTTGTTTTAAATAGCACGGATATTTACCAAAATGGAGACATTTGAATATACAAATCATCATATTTTGTATCCTCCTGTTGGCTAAACCACACACACCAGCCTTGTCTAGAAGAGCATCATAGTTCGAGTCCCAGTCCTTTAAAACAAATCTTAAAATACGTCTATTTAAGGTGTCCAGTTTGACAGAATCTTCTGAATTACAAAAGTGCCATATCATTGAACAGTAGTGAAAATGGGGTAAGATAAACGCTTTATAAAGGCGAAGCATAATTTCGGATGAGATAAGTTTGCCAAATCTTTTGAAGACACTGAACTGATTATTTATTTTTTTGCATACAGAGGATATGTGATCCTTGAAATTAAGTTCATTGTCTAGAGATATTCCAAAAAGATCCAGGCATCTTGTGGTTAAAAAGGAGAAAGGGTAATCGGTTTCCCCAAGAACCCTCCCTTGATGTTTTAGCAGGGTTTGCTTTCATCCCATTGTCTTCGAACCATTTATTTGCTATTTGTACATCATGATTGATCCGCCGTTCCAAGGCCACTGGGTCTACATCAGATGAGTGCAGTTGGCAGTCATCGGCATAAGTGTTTAATTTTACAGACTTAATGTGAAAGATGAGGTCGTTGAGGAACATGTTGATAAACATGGGCCCCAGGACGCTGCCTTGAGGCACGCCCCGCTTCACACTCATCCAATCCGAATAAGTATCACCAAATTTCACTCGCTGCCTTCTATCCGTCAAGTAGTCACCGATAAGGGCGCAGCTGGATTCGTGTGCCAGCCATACGCTTTCAGTTTTGCTAATAGCAAAGCATGAGGTATGGTGTCGAAAGTCTTTGACAAATCCATTGATATAACCGCCACGATCTCTTTATTGTCTAGACTGCGCCTCCAGTCCTCAGTCAGCCTAAGTAAAGATGTCTCACAGCTATGGTGCCTCCTGTAGGCAGATATGTATTCAGACAATATGTTCTGGTAAAAGTCGCTCATTTGAGCTGAAAGTAGCCTCTCAAAAACGTTATTGAGCGCAGGTAATACGGTCACTGGTCGATAATTGCTTTTTAAATAAAGGAGTAACTTGACCTAATTTCAAGCGCGACGGATACTGTCCTGTCATAATCGAGTGATTCATTATTGCAGCTATAGGACCGGCAATTGCGTTGGCAGACTCTTTTAACAGTCGCGGTGGTATTCCGTCATAACCACAGGATTTACGGGAGTTGATTTTGAGTAACAAAGCTTCCACTTGGGTTTTATTAGTATATTGAAAAGCAAAATTGTTTCTCGCAGCGATCTGCTCATTGTTATTAAAAATCGCCTGAATGCTAGGATGTGCATCAAACCCTTTTCCAACAGGAGGGCATTTTGCATGCGCATGCGTGAATCCGCTGAACAACAATAGCGTGGACGCATCAAATCTAATGGCGGGAAATCGAAAACTCGCGAGTAAAGTTGCAGGCCTTTTAAAAGCCATTTCGTTGGTACTTTGAATACCGTACTTTCCTACAATCGGACGTTTTCTACGCGGGTTTTCACTTTTAGATTTTTCAGCAGTAGGTTTTCTTGGCCTTTTAAAGAGTTTCAAGACTCCACGCCAAAAAGTCATGTTCCTGTATAAGTCTGATTTTCACTGCAAAGCAATGCATTTCTATGGTTTGATTTCCGAACTCGTGGTTTTACTTATCAGGGAGGAAATGCATCGTAGCAATGTTCAGCTGCTTAATTAAGACAAAAAGCGAAAAAATAAAAAAAATAAAAATAAAAATAAAAATATTACCACGCGAGGTTTATTTATTAGCGCGATGTCTCATGTTAAACTGATCGCAGAGACACGCGCTTATATATGCCACAAAACATGAAATCTATGGGGTTTTTACACTTTTTCGAAAGTTTTCGGTGAAAAATTTATAAAAAATATTCTATAGGAAATGAAGAATGGATTGAGTTTGAGACAGCAACAATTACAGGTGATTATGTAGTACATAATCACTTTAGCATTTCATAAGCTCAGTTGCAGACGAAACGAATGCACATACTTCGAAAAAACGAAAAGTACTTTTATTTTTCTTTAACTCTAAAAGATACAGAGATTTTCAGTAGTCATAGTGGCTACACCAGGTAGTAACCAATCAGAGCGCAGCAAAATTTGTCTCGACCAATCAGAATCGCGCATTTGGCCCATGTGACTGATTGACGTCACAAATCAAGGTTTTGACCCACGTGACCCATAGGAATAAAGAACACACGCACACAAGAGTTGAATCCACATTCTTCACATAGTTTTAATGAGAATAGAGCCTGATAGTTGGACGCATGCGCAGATGGGGTCCAAGCGTTTGCCCTGCGCAGTCACGTGAATGGGATCGTAAGCACATGCGCAGACCGCCAGACGACTCCCCAGGTCCCCCGCATGCCTGTGAGCCTATTTCCGCATAGACCTATTACGCATGCGCAAACCACGAAAAGTAGTCCCAGACCCCTCGCATCCCCAAAGTCAAGAAAAACACACTCTATAGAGGTCAACATCCACTTTTTTAATGAACACATCGCGAGGAGAGCCTGGTTACAAGCGGGACGTGTGTGACGCCCAAGTGACGTCACGCCCTGGATATTAACGAGTGAACAAAATAAAGGGTGTTTGCCTCTTGGAAGAAAAAGTCATGAGTGCTGGATGAGGCCATTTGATATAATGGTTGTAACCTGTGTATGACCATGGTTTGATTAAAGGAAAATTGAGTGCAGGCAAGGTGTCTGAAAAAAACGAATTAGAAGGAGGGGTGGTTAGATCCAAGAAGCAAACTGAATGAGATATAGTCGACCATTGGCACGCACGAGGCGGTGGTTTAGGGTCCAATGATTGACTGGAAAAAGAAAAAACAGACCTTCATTACAAACGGGACGTGTGTGACGCCCTAGTGGTGTCACGCCCTTGGAAATGTTTGTTTACAATAATATTCTATTAAAATCCAGTCTTGATTATAATCAAAATGGTCTAGGATCCAATGACATTCTAATAAAAAATCAACGTCTTAGTTTGAGCATCTAGGAACCAATGACATACTAACGAAAAAATATTGTAGTGTAAGCTTCCAGGAACCACTGACATACTGATATGAAAAAAAAAATCAACGTTGGAGTTTGAACAAATGGAGTAAGCTGGACCATCCTTGATGATTGACAATACAGAGTTTATGAGGGAGGGGCCAGCTTCGGAAAATCATGATATCTTGTAGGATCCAATGGGAATCTAATAAACATGAAATAGAGACTGAACATCCAGCAGGGGTGGCGCCACCATGCAGACCTCCCCCTGCCGGGTGTTCAGAAGTCCCATCCTGTGCTTTCTAAAATATGACATCCCCAACAGGGTTCATGGAGGGTGTTCACGTGACGTGAATACGTCCAACAGCGTTTACACACAAAATACAACTGCTTCATTAGATAAGTGTGGTAATATCTGGTGTGATTCTCTATTATCTGGGCAGTGGCTGAAAAAGGGAAGGAATATAAATAGCTCGTATGACAAAACGAGTATCTGAAACGGAAAAAAACAGGTTGTTCAGAAACGGGGTGGATAGCCCATGCCTTGCAACATCTCACACCAATAACACGGTACGTGTAAATCTTGCACGCGACGAAAATTCAAAAAGCAACGACAACAGAGTAATTTGATGGGTCTTGGATATGGTGGAAGAGGGACCCCTGGTCCGGTGTACCACTGCACGATACTACCACAAAAACACCAGGCCGCGGACGTGCCATGAACCCTGTGGGTGCTGAGAATAGTAAAGGAATCTACGAAAAAATTAATAATAATACTCTGTCTTCATGAGTAAGAAAACAAGGCGGTCTCGGAAGAAGCAACTGTTGTAGAGGTGGGTATGTGTCTCTAAAATTTTGAAAAAATCAATAATAATAAATGTCTTTCATGTCTTTTCCGAGTAAGAAAGCCACGCAATCTCTGAACCAGCGACTGTTCTTGACATGGGTACGTGTCTCTAAAATTCAAGACCATTACAAAATTGAACGAGTTGTTGAACACAATGAATATGGCATCGGTGTTGCAAGGGAAGGATCCACCCCCATGCATCAATGACCTCAATTACATCTGAAATATTTCATGAAGTTGGATTATACATTTGACCGTGCTATAATGACATCTTAATTGAATGGGACGTATCCAATCTCCATACTCTTTCAACGTGAAATGAAAGCCTACAAAGAGGTGGAAAGTGGACGCATCAGGATGCGAAAAAAAGGAGAGTTTAAAGAGGACACTCTCGGGATCCATTGTAAGTGATGACGTAACAGGCAATGGGTGCCTGTGAAAAAATGAACTAAAATCAATCCTCTAAGAATCCAAGAGCCGCCAAATCCGGTTCACCCACATCACCCTGCCTCCGGAGAAACGAATTAATGCGAAAGGTCATTCGCAAGGGAAAGTCGTCCCAGTCCCGTTGGTTAGGGTCCCCATCCTGTACATATTGCACAATTTCATCTTCGGTGAGGGACCCCTCCCGGTTACCGGAAATAATATCATCTAAACGTAAACCATCCATCATCCGCTCACAATGGTTGCATACTCCGCCATGGGTGGGATGGGCGAGCCATTGGTAAATGTGGCAGACAGGTTGGTTTTCTATGTACTCCCATGAATCTAACGAATAAAAAAATTAACACGAACAGTTTGGAACCCAGAACCGTGCGGCCCAATTGAGTCGGGCACGTCGAGGGCAAAGACATAGGTGGACAGGCCACAGCACGGTGCGTAGAAACTCGAATCCCTTGAATACCTCTGTGAAAATCAAAAAAGGTATAAGGAAAAAAGGGACCCACACCCGAAAAAAAATGAAAAGCTATGAAACTCACCAGCCATACGGCGGCGATGGACCTCATGATCCAGTTTGCGGGCAACGGGATGATCCCACGGCAACGTTCTGGCCCAATTCCGTAATTCTTCGTGGGTGCAGCGACGGAACATGGCGCGCAGGCATTCGTGACCCATCGGGAGGTGGCACAACAACTTTAACATGTCAAACAACACGGCAATCGGCACGGAGTACAGAACAATAGACTGCAAAGAGCTCACCATCTTGAATAGCTTGACGGATCAAACTGGAATGAGCTCACACGGAGCGCGCAACGGGATTTAGAGACTTGATGAGAGAAGCTGATTGGTGGAGAGACATCACGTGGGGGCGTTTAACCACGAGAGGAGACTCTAGGGGGTACCCCCCATGGGTACACTTTTTTGGGCGGGACTCCAAGTCCTGGCGCGAGGTGGGGATTGGTTCAAGGCATGAAGAATAAAGGGGGAACACAGCGGAGAGACCTCAGTTCATGCTTGATGCTGTCAACATGGACTGCCGAGGGTTAGTCGACCCCAAGAATAAGCCGTTTGGCCGCGTGCTGCCCCTAGAAGTGCAAATCAAGATTATGTTTTGGGTGCACTGTTTCTATACCATGGAGAAGCGCAAGAAGGTGGTCCAAGAGTTGAAGGGATTGCCCAAATGCGACATGACAGGGTTTCCCCAACACCTGGGCGAAGGTCGGTGGTGGAATCAAGTGGTGTTGCGGTTGCGCACCCCTCGAAAAAATGGCTGCCACCATTGCCACCGTGTGATCGATCACCGATTGTCGGTGAGTGAATTTGTTTTGAAGTGGTATTTTTTTTTTTCATGACCTTGACCCCTGAAAAAAACTTTTTGTCTGTTTTTTGTAGATTGGCATGATGGTGGAGATGGCACGGGTCCCTCCCAATCTGGACAATGTGATGAATGAGGGGATCGCGTTCATCATTGACCGGTTCAAGAAGCAGCTTCAGAATTGTACCGTGGGTCAGTACCCCGTGATGATTGGCCGGAGAAAGCGTGCCTACAATACGCTGGACAAAGTCATGCAGAGATTAGATTTGATTCATGATGTCATGTCTGCTATGAATTTTATTGTGGTTGATATACATTGAGATTAAAACAAGTGTTTTTTGTGTTCATTGACGTTTGAATAAAGCTTCCAGGGTGGGATAGAGGACTGGGTCTTCTTCTCGGGTGCCGATAATGGCGGTCTTGTCTTGGAGGGTGGGTAAGGCGATTTGTTCCTCGGTCATGCCGTCACAGACTTGATATTCTTGGGAGGTGGGATTCCACCAAGACCATTGTTCCTTGTCCACATCAAACACATAGAGGGGTTTGCCTAAAAGTTGGGCCATGACCACACCCCATCCTGTGCCACCCAACAGATGCTTGCCATATTCATCAAAATGGCCCAAAGCGAGGACGAGGGACGCAGGTTGGATGACGTAATAATTGCGTTGAATGTACTGGAGGCTGATAGGATGATGAATTTGTCGACCCAATCGAAACGCCACCTGGGTGACGGTCGGGGTGGCCGCATCCAATTGGGACTGGGTCAAGGGCGCGAGGGACTTGGATCGAGGGTGACAAGGTGGGATAAAGACCACACAGGTATGACCATACAAGTGACATAATCGTTCCACATGCGTGTCCACCCCTTTAGCACCGCCTGTGTAAATGAGCATGGTCTGAAAAAAATGAAAAAAAATTCAGTGTTTATGATGAGGGATAGGCGTCCAAGCCCACATGGTATGCGGTTCATCATCGGCGTACATCAGGGGTACATCCCATTCCCGCTGGGTCACGGTTTGTTCAAAGACACGTGAGACGTTATGACAATCATCGCAATCCTCCGGGATCCAATCCAGTCCTTGACCATTGGCAAACGCCTGATCTTTGGCCTCGGTACAATAGTTGCATAACAGTTCGTCTAATAATCGATCACACCGTTTTTGCCACAACACGCGTTGGGCGTTGATTTGCGAAAAGGTGGGTAGGACATGGGTCTGGCGACGGAGCCATCCACTCATTTGACAGACCCGTACATGGGCGCAATGATCGTGCCAGATACCACTCCCACGGGCTCCATGAGAATGATCCTCACACCAATTACGTCCATGATTGTGGTGAGCCATGACATTGGCCGTAGCAATAGGGAGATTGGCCAAGTCCCCACACCCCTGCCCTTCTAGGACCACGAGAGGGTAGGCAAACGGGGGCTCTTGCAACATTTTAGTCAGCCCATTGCGCGTGTGAACCCCGATCCGATTCCGCTGAGGGGTGAGATGCTGTTGACACCAACGGGTGATATCGTCTCGCATTTGTTCGTAGGGATGAAAGTCTTGACGATTGTACGCTGTATAGGGTTCGAAGGGCAAGCCATGCACGGTCTGGGTTTGACGATCGACGCGCGTTCGGGCCTCCTCGGATAATTGATGGTACGACACGCCTGGGGGTAACAGGTATTTGAACAATCCATGATGATGTCCCGTCCAATCGCAAAAAGCCAGTTCTCGAATAATATATTCGTCTCGGGAGAGGGCAAACCCCTGACTAAACACCAAGAGACCCACTTCATGGAGTGCCATGCTTACCGTTTCAAGTGGACTGCAACGAATGAGAGGGGACGTTGACCCATCCCTGGTTTTATAGCCCCTGGGATGGTTTCTGATTGGTGGAGAGCAAGATCATACGATCATCACGAGAGGACAGGACAAGTTCGGATTGGTGGAGACAAGATCGTATGAGTGTCACGAGAGGCAGGAGGTGGGGCTATAAAAGGCAGGCCAGACGCTCCCTTGAAGTCATTCGTCAGTCGAGGGAGGATGGATCGTCAAGCCACTCAACCTGCCGCAGTGCCTTCGGGACGCAAACGACGTCGCGTGAGTAAGAAACAAAAACAAGAAGAGGAAGCCCAAGCGCGAGCCGCACAAATGAAAGCGGATCATGATCAGGAGATGGCCGAGCTCGGGTTCTCCCGAGCTGAACTCCTAGAGATGAAAGCCAAACAACCCCCTACCAGTGAACTGGTGATCGCTCTCAACGCCTTGCCTAAAGCCGAAGACCCACTGCCACCCCCTACACCCTCGCCCATCAACGACTTGATGGAGGGCACCCTGAAAGACTATAAGGAAGAATGTGTGGAGGAAGGTCATTCAGATCCCGCCACAGACGTGGGGGAATGGGAAATCCTGGACCAGATGGACACCCAGTTCAACCAACTCCTGTATGAATCGTGCCCGTTTCATCCCCATCGATTCCTGGAATGTGTCAACCCCCAATCCAATGTTGGTCCCTTAAGATTCAAGTGTCCCCAAGAAGGGTGTCCTGTCTATTTGTTTGAAGACACACGAGAGGTGATGATGGAGAAATTGAAAGAAGACACACATCCTCAAGTCCATGCCCGAGTGAAACACGGAGAATTGAAGTGCAAATGTGGGTTGGTTCCCAAGATGAAATTGAGTCGCACCACCAAGAATTACAACAAAGTGTTTTTCAGTTGTGGGAGCTTTCTCACCCATGCCAAACCCTGTGGCTACTTTCAATGGCTCCATGGTCCCCTATGGTGTCCCCGAGAGCAAGCGCAGCCGACCTTGAGACGATGGGTCAAGGAGTCCCTCCCTCTTCTGAAAGACCCTGAAAAGGAGAGACCCTGGGGCATGCACACTGTGGAGATGCGTTATGGTGAGAGGCCAAACCCCGTGATAGACAAGATAAAGTATGATCCATGGATGAAACAGTTTGGTGAGTCTGCCCAAGCCCAGGAGAATGCGTTTGAGAGAAGGCGCCATTTTCATAAGAACTTTGGCAGTTCGTGTTTGTTTTGAAAATTCATGTAGGTGTTTGTGAAAAAAACTATTAAAGACAGAAATTGGCTCAGAATGTGTGTCAGTGTCTTGATGTCGTTGCCACGCGCTTACGAAGATCCCCAAGCACCTGGGGCCTTGGGTGGGGTCCAACCCTTTGCCCAAGCTCACAAATTGAAAACCCCGCAAGCGCAACAGATTCTTCAATCCGTGTTGAGCTATACGCTCCACAAACCCCGACGGACCCGGTTTCCCACCACCCCCACCTTGGTCTTTGGCCGAGACGAACAATGGCAGATGGATTTAGTGGACATGCAAAAACTCAGTCGGTGGAACCAAGGCCACAAATATTTGTTAACGGTCATCGACGTCTTGTCCAAGTATGCCTGGGCCGTGCCCATCAAATCCAAGAGTGCCGCCAACATGATCCGAGGGTTGGACGCGATACGCCGACAGGCCTCGCCGCGACGACCCCTCCGTGTGCAAACGGATCAAGGCCAAGAATTTTTGAATCGAAAGGTCCAAGCCTGGTTCAAGAAACACGACTGGCATCATTTTTTCACGTATGGGGATAGCAAGGCCTCGGTGGTGGAACGATGGCATCGCACCTTGAAACAACGCATGTACCGGTATTTTACCGCGCACAATACGTTACGGTACGTGGACGTCTTACAACCCTTGATCTATACCTACAATCACGCCTATCATCGCAGTATTGGGATGGCGCCGCATCAAGTCACCTTTCGAAACGAGTCCGAGGTATGGGATCGACTCTATGGATCACGGTTGAAGCCCAAGATCCCCCCACCCAAATGTCGCGTGGGGGATCGGGTGCGTCTCAACAAGAAACATCGCCCCTTCAAAAAAGGGTATTTGCCAGGCTGGACGGAAGAAGTGTTTGTGGTCACGCATGTGCGTCGTCATCCCGTGGTGACCTATCAGCTCAGTGAATGGGACGGCACCCCTATAAAAGGCACGTTTTACGAACCCGATGTGCAAAAAGTCCAAGTATCAGACGATTCATTGTTTCGAATCGAAAAAGTCTTGAAACGGAAAGGACGTCAGATCTTGGTCCGGTGGAAAGGGTGGCCGGCCAAGTACGATAGTTGGATTCCCGCACAACATGGTCCGCGCCAAACGAACACCTCGAAAAAGAAAAAGGCGGGTGCAGTTTCTCGATGATGCCAGTGACACCCCTACCACGGACGCAGACATTATGAACTTCATCCAGGAAAAAGCCGCGGAACAACGGCAAACCCAACCGTGGTGGGAAAAGTTGGCCAGCCCCACCAAACAGCAATGGGCCTACGCCAATGCTTACCATCGAGCCGAAGAGTATGCCAAGCAACGAGGGGCTCTACGGTCCCCACCCAAGAAAAAACAACGTCGACGTGCCGGTCGTCATCCACCTATGCGCAAGAAGAAACCCCCTAAACCCAAGACCTGCATGACCCTGATGGAACTGGCCCGGGCCTTTCCCAATATTGCCCAGCAAGTGTGTTTTCATCCTAAACAATCGACCTTCCATTCGTTGGTGGGACGCGTCCCTCGCAGTAAACAGAAAGCGGACCAGTGGCTATAAAAGGACCCTGTACCCTATTAGACGTGCCTCTTTTTTTCATCATGAGTGAGATTAAACGTTTGACGCTCATTAGTGATCCGACCGACGAGTTTCCCAACAATGCCAACAACAGTTTCAAGGTCCGTCTGCCCGAACGCCTGAGCTTACCGGGCGCAGGCTGGCATGCCTCCCTATTGTCCCTGACCGTCCCGGATCAAGGCCAAAGCAATGCTGTCATTGCCACGGATCCTCACACCAAAGTCGTCAAAATAAGCGTCACGTTTTTGACGCGCAAATGGATATCTGGGGTGTACAGACAGGTCGACATCAAGAAAAAGGATTATGGAGTGGAATTGGAAGAAATCATGAGCGCCAAACAGTCTGTGACCACCGGCAGTGAGTTTTGGAAACGCGTGATGCAAGAAGTGCACAACAAGGTCATGCAGGCATTGATCAACCAACAAGAAGCTGCCCTAAGCCATCATGGGGATGAATTTCCCATAGTCAGTGTGAAAAAGAACTGGATGCCTATGATGAGTTGGAAAGGCGATGCCTTGGTGTTGCATGCCGTGGGTAAAGGAGATTTGATGAATGCGAACAAGACCAAAGTCACGAGCGCCTTCATGATGGATCTGGAGATCGCAAAAAGGTTTGGCTTTGTTGAAAAACCCGCAGGGGTGGATGTGGGGTATGTGTTGGGGCCCAATCTCCAATTCACGTGCCCTACCGTGACCTACACGAGCCAAACCCAGCCAATCCACAGTACCTACCCCTCCGCTCGCGCGGAGTTCAATTGGAATGGAGATCATTATGCCGGGATGCAACCCAAGGATTTGACCGATGACGCGATGGATCAAATGTTCGAGGTAAACGGAAAACGGCTTTTACTGTCCAGGATGGTAGAATGGCAGTTCAACAACCTAGATGCTTCGTTTGAAAAGATGGTGGGCACCAGCAAACGCACTGTGATGGTGTACTCAGACCTGGTGGAATCCACCGTGGTGGGCAGTGGCAAGTATCCCCTGTTACGGGAAGTGCAATTGTTGAGAACGGGGGAAGGAGAAAGTACGGCGGAACCCCTGCACCACCAATGGATCAAAGTACGAGGCCAACAAATGGATATCTTGGAAGTAGAGATTGCCAGTACCAGTGGACCCCTGGCCATCTTACCCCCCGGCAAAACCCTGGTGACCATTGGTCTCAAAAAGCTATAAAAAGTCACCCCCAACATCACGTGGGTCCAAAAAGTACCACGACGTGAACCATGCGCGGAGGCAGTTTAACGCGGTACCATACGCCCGTGCTCACTAAGCAAGAAGGCAAAGGTTTGGCCGAAGACTTGATCAAACTGGCGGGACCCCTGATCGTGCAGCAAGCTCAAGCGGGACTGCAAGATATTCAACGAGGCAAGAGTGCCGCGGACACGTGGGCCGATCGAAGTGCCCAACTCAGCCGCGGCTTGAAACGCAAAGCCCCTGCCATGGCTTGGACGGCTGGCAAACACAAAGTCAAACGGACTGCCCAAAATACCTATAAAAGAGCCACGCAACGTGTACGGGACATCTTTGGACTGTAAAAAATGGTACGTGTAGGAGGCTTTCTGAAAACGCAAAATCGTGTTCGACGGCAACGTGCCCGTGGACGGTTCATCTCGCCGTATCAAGTGGGGGGTAGGATTTTTGGCAAGTCGACCATGGCGCGCTATCCCCTGATGAATACGACGCATCGGATCAACCCCGAACCCTGGAGGGTAAAACAAGCCCTGCGCCGCATGAAAGGGGGCACGATTTTTGGCACGTCCACTCGCATGCGCATGGGGGATCCCATGAAGGTCCTCTCAGCTGCCCAAGAAAAGGCCATGATGGACCGCTGGTTCAAGAAACGTATGAAAGGGGGCACGATCTTTGGCCCGGGGGATCTCCGAAAAGTGTTGTGGGCCAACCAAGCCAAAGCCAGGAAGCAGAAGAAGTAGAAAGGGGGCAATGTCTTCAGCCGATTGAAAAAACGCATCCAAATCGATTTTCCTCACCGTCCCTTTCCCGCCGCGCATCCCATGCATGATTGGTACAGAGTACAAAAGGGTATAAAAAGAGGACGCCGTTGAACCTCGTGGACAGATCGCATCATGTCGCTCAGTCTATTTGACGTGCCCGATGTGGATTATCGGTACGAAGCCTCTCGGGAGGTGGAGTTTCAACCCGCCTTGACAGGCATCCAACCCATCACCTTCTCCATTCCAGGCTCCGACGATTATTACGATACCAATTCTCTCCGCTTCAAAGTCAAAGTACGCCTGACTGATCCTGCCGCTGGGTATACTGGATTAAGTGCCGATTTGACCGCCAACTCCGATGCCGACACGACCAAGAGCACGTACTGCGTCAACAATTTCGGTCACTCCATCTTTCGAGATATCACCATGAGCATGAATGGCGTCCTCATGACCGAGCAGAGCAACACCTACCATTACAGAGCCTACCTAGAAACCCTGTTGAATTACAACCGAGAAGAAGGAGCCACCAAGCTAGCCTCGCAAGGATGGGTCAATCAACTGAATGTGATTCCCGTCATGGGAGCCACAGGAGCCAATGCGGATATCCCCACCAATGCCAATTGGAGTGGCAATACAGAATTGCGAGCCCTGACCAGCCGGTTGCTGACCGAACAATGGCACACCTTCATCGTTCGTCCCCATTTGCCACCCCTCAAGACAGGCAAATTGTTGGTCCCCAATGTCCAGATGGACTTTGAACTCTTTCTCAACCCTAACACGGTCTACCTGATGGGCACCCCTAACAAAGGCACCTTAAACGCCAAGAAATTTCCAGCCATCCACAATGAAGACATCAAAGTCACCTTGCTGATGAGAAAAGTGACCTTGAATGCCAGCGTCTATGTCAGACTGCAGAAAGAAAGACAGCTGGGCAAACAGATTGCCCGCTACCCTGTCGTACGAAGCGAAATTCGCACGTTTTCCTTTGATGGACGCACCACCCAGTGGGAACAAGACAATGTGTTTGTGGGACGATTTCCTGATCGAGTGATGGTGGGATTATTGCATTCCAACACCTTCAATGGAGACCTCACCAGATACCCTTTTGCCTTTCAAAAGTTTGGTGTCACCCAAGTACGACAGACCTTGAATGGAGAAGAATACCCTTACAGAACCCTGCAATTGACTGGAGACCAAGCCTATGAAGATCTGCTGGGCTACGATCGATTTCTACAAGCCATGGGTGCTTACAATGAAGATAAGATCCCTATGCTGCTGCCGAGTGATTGGGGACAAGGCAAGAACTGCACGTTGTTCATGTTCAACAATGTGCCCAGTGGAAAAGCAGATGACCCCCAGTACCGCAACCCCCGTCAATCGGGCAATACGCGACTGGTGATTGATTTTGCCGCGGCTGTGGGTCATAACATCACCGTGTTGGTATGGAGCGAATATGAAAACATGTACGAGATCAATCATCTGGGAGGTATAAAATACAACATCAACGGTTGAAGTCACCTCAGAAGTCAAAAGACATCGGTCATGGAGTTTGTGGCGCTCAGTGATACCGTGTTGCGGACCCTGGCCTTGGAGGATCCCGAATTACGACGCGTGTTTCATGGAGTGCACCCCGCGGACCAACTCCCCCGATCTCCCACCAAGAGTGTCCGTCAAGCTTACATTGTCAATACCGATCCAGCCGGAGAACCGGGACAGCATTGGTTGGGTCTATGGACAGAAAAGAACCAGTGCGAGATCTTTGACAGTTATGGTCTACCCCTGCACGTGTACACCAACCCGGAGTTGCACCAATGGTGGGGTCAATGGAAGTACCTGACGCGCAGTGACCAGACCCTGCAAGCCCTGGATAGTCAAACCTGTGGCCATTATGCGTTATTTTTCTTGAAAGCTCGTGCGCAAGGACGGTCGTATCAAGAATTTTTAAGTCAATGGAGTTGCGACAATTTAGTGTTGAATGATCAAAAAGTGGCCGAGCAGTTGAAACGGGTGATCAAACGGGAATTACAAGATGAAGTCGATGCCCGACCCGACGGAGGGCAAAAGAATGTGAGCCGCCAGGCCTTTATCACTTGTCACCATTGTGAGTGTTGAAATAAAAAACCCCATAAAACGAGAGGTGTAGTCCAAGAGTGGTCATTGTAGTTCATCATGATTACGCGAGCCGATGTCCAGCGGGTGGTGGATGCGTTCATTCTGGAAGAAACCTTGTATTGGTGGGAACACCCCATCGAGCGGGTCAACACCGTGCAAGGCATCGATGCCTGGGATGGGTATCATTGGTTAGTCGCTCGACAATTGGCACAAGACCAAGATTGGGTCTCCCTCAAACAGTATATGGACAGCATGAGCGAAACGTATTTAAGAGAAACCATGGAAGGACTGATCCAGTCCGAATCGCCTCGCTTATACCGCGACTATTGGACGACATGCCCAGACGACGACGACAGCGCGCCTCCACCCGACGACCCCGCTTTCGCCAAAACGGACGAGGCATCATGAGCGTGTTGACCAAAGCGGCCAAAATCGGCTATAAATTGGGACGGGACAAACGGTATAAACGTATGGGCGCTAAAGGGGCCACCGGTCATTATCGACGTCACCCTCGACCGTGGGAATCATGATTCGACAACCTAGCAGTGTGATCATCGCGGGCCCGTCGGGCAGTGGCAAGACTGACTTGGTGGAACAATGGTTACGGTACCTGAACGTATTTCAAGTCAAACCCCGCAAGATTGTGTATGCCTATGATCGCTGGCAACCCCGATTCGAGCGTATGCAAAAAAAGGATGGGATTCAATTTCATCGCGGATTACCGGACCCCCGTCATTTGACGCAATGGTTTGGTCGGACGCGCGGCGGGGTGCTGGTCTTGGACGACCTGATGGAAGAAGGGGGACAAGACAAGCGCGTGTTGGATTTGTTCACCAAAGATTCGCATCATCGCAACATTACGGTACTGTATTTGACGCAAGATTTATTCCCGCCGGGCAAATTTTCCAAGACCATCAATCGCAACGCGCATTACATTGTGGCCTTCAAAAACCCCCGGGATCAAACAGGGATACGGACGATTTTATTACAAGCCTTTCCGGATCGATGGCGTCAAGTCTTGCGCCTATTTAAACGCATCACGGCCCGCCCCTTTGGCTATTTGATGTTGGATGTACATCCGGCGTCGGATGATCGCTACCGCCTGTGGAGTCATTTAACGCCTCGAGAAGGCAAGGCGCAAGTCCACACCTTGCGGGCGGATGTCCCTGCCGTTCGAAAACGAACTGCAACGAGAACTCGCCAGGGTCCGTCGGCAAAGAGAAGGCGGACAACATACTGAGTTAGCCGCTCGCATGGACACACACTCACCCGCGGGGGTAGGTTCCCCGTCGGTCCTCCGAGATCTCAGCAGCATGACGGACATGGTGACCGAATTGTCTCGACCCGTGGATCGTGCCCGATTGGAGCAAGACATTGACGATTTCAATTTGACTTACCCGGTCAATGTAGACGATGCCTTGAATGCGTTCACGCTCCCGCCCGTGGCGGGCACTGGCACGGCCCCCGCCACCACCACCACCACAGCCCCCATCACTACCACGGCTGCCCCAACTCGTCCCACCACATCGACCCGAACTCGTCCCACCACGACTACGACCACCAGTCGACCACGACCCGTCACGTCCACCCGAACACGCCCCGCCACGACCGCCACGACCACCACCGCCCCCTCCCGCCCCTCCACCAGCCGCCGCAGCGTCGGGGCAGGGACCAGGACCACCACCTCGACCGTGACCACCCCCACTGGACGCCCCACCATCGCCGCCAAACAACCGCGACGGCGCCCTAGGGTGCCCTCCCCACCATCCCCTGGTTCGTCCCCTCCGTCCGAGGATGAGGATGGCGATGATGACGATCGACGGCGAGGATTAAGGCGACGATTGGATTTGCTCAATGAAGATGCTCAAGAACGGGCACGAGGTCGACGGATTCGCAACATCACGCACACCAATACAGTCACCACGGTCTACGAAGAGGGGGGTCGTCCCTCGGTGCGCCGCACGTCCACCCGAACCTCCAGCCCAAGTCCACCCAGACCACCCCGCCGAGGACGGGGCCGTGGCCGAGCACGCGGACGGGGCCGAGCCCGTGGACGAGGTCGTAGTATATAAAAACAGGGACCTTTCTTCCCCTGTCCCAAAAATGTGTGGCCGTTGTCGACACGCGATGGGACGCAAACGCCAACGCAGGACGATACGACGACGACCCGCCAAACGACGACGGCGTGTGAGTCAAGTCGGGGGTGTCGCGGTCAGCATGCCCCTAGGGATTCTCAAAGCCGGTTATGGGATCACCAAAGCCATCGGGGATCATCAAACCAAGCGTGCCATCGCCATTGGCGAAAAACGTCGACGAGAAGTGGCCTCCGGCAAACGGAAAAAATACGCGGGGGAATCCTTTAATTGTTCCATCATGTAAAAACTATAAAAGACCCAAGGTGTGTCCTCCCTCGGACAGATCATCATCATGCATTGTGGTCCACGACGACGAAAACGACGCCGAACACAACAAGGGGGTATTCTCCCACTTCTCATTCCCGCGGCTGTGGCGGCTGCCGTCCTCATGAAGAAGAAGAAAAAAAGAAAAGTGGGCAAGATTAGTGCAGCCAATCAACGACTGGCCCAACGACGGGTCCAGCGGATGTTGACTCGAATACCGGGTTGGGGCGGGTTTGAAACGCTGAAAAGGCTATAAAAGAAAACACTAAAAAAGCTATAAAAGAAACGCCTGGTTGGACACACAATTCCCATTGAGGATGGTCCGTGGACCCAACGGTCGCCGACATCGTTATGTCCCTCGAAAACGACGCCGACGACGTGGCTTGCAACGCGGCGCTAAACTCCCGCTTTTGGCAATGGCTCTCTCGCCTTTGTGGCTCAGGAAATACAAACCCAGAATCCGCTTTCGACGCCCAGACTAACCGACAACGCCCTCAACGCAAAGCCGTCACGTTTGCGTTGGATCGGAACGACCAGTATGAAGCCGCCTTGTGTGCACGGTGTCGAGATCACATGCAACGGCATTATCATGGCGAATTGTGTGGCCGGTGTGGCGCCATTTTTACCATAAATAGACCTTGGTCCTTGCCTGAACTCAAGATTCATCATGGGGTGGCGCATGGAACGTCAAGCCCCGTTCTTAAAAAGTGTCTTACAAGAAGCCAATCAACACAAACGCCAAGAATTGTTGCGAATGGCCAATGCGGATCAGATCAATGCTGTCAGTGAATTGGTGATGAACACGCTCCGTGGCACAGTGCCCCGTTCCCGACAGACCATTACGTTGCTCAAACCTCACGCTCAGAGTTTACGCGCTATGGCCAAACCCGCTCATTCCGTCAAACGACGACGCGCTATCATGATGGCTCAAAAAGGAGGAGCCCTCTGGCCGGAACTCTACCGATGTTATAAACGTTGCATGCGCTAGACCTGACCCCTCAGTTGCACCATGGAACCCGAGATGGTGAGCACCACGGTGAACAACGCCCCGGCTTTTTTACAATTACGAGACCAGTACAAACAAGAATTGGTGGAAGATACCCGCTTGACCAAAGCCGCTGATTTAGCCGCCAAACAACATGTCCTCCTGACCAGTGATGCCCCCGATGCTTGGAAACGGCCTCAACTCAAAGCCGTCAGCCGTCAATTACGCCATTGGACCAAAAAAGTGCGCCAACCGTTTGGAGCCGCTGCTGGAGGTGTGAGTGCCGCAGGGGCCACCACCCCGGGCGACGATGATTTCGAGGCAGGCCCGATGCAAGCTTGGTTCACGCAATTGGTCAAGGCCACCCAGGGTATAAAACAAGGCACCCCGACTGGTGGACCCAGAAAACCCCCTGTCCCGCCCAAACCAAGGTTCACCCCTAGTGCCAAAAAGAAACTCAAGTTCACGACCCCTACAACTCCATTGAGCAGTGCCGAGTTGGCGCACGAGTTGCCTTTTTCAGAGGAGCCTGGAACAGAACCTTGGGATACCCCCAGTGAACGTGTGGACTCGATCAAGCAATCGGTCAAGCGCGGGATTCGCAAAAAAGCCGCAGGTGTCGCCAAAAAGAAAGCCGCTGGTTGGGCCAAGAAAGCTTTGGATTGGAAATCGTGGAAAACCCCCTAAGATGGGACGGAAACGCCGTGCTCCACCCCGTTCCCGAGCGAGACGACGACGACGACGCTCGCAACGGGGCGGCAAGTTATTTGATGTACAAAACCTCCTTAACAAGACCGGCATTGAATTTCATTGGCCTGGTTATCAGTACATGGGCCCTGGCACCCATTTAAAAAAACGATTGGCCCGTGGGGATCCCGGCATCAACCGGTTGGACAGGATTGCAAAAGCCCATGACATGGACTATGATAAAGCCAAGACGTTGAAAGACAAATGGGCGGCAGATCGCAAGATGATTGCCAAGATTGATCAACTCCCTGGCAGTAAAAACTTAACAGAGCGTATTGTTAGACGCATTATGAAAGCCAAACTTCGATTCGGCATGTAAACCCCCTTAGTCATAAAAGAAGACAACATGTTCAATGGCACAGTACACATGTTTTAATTAAACTTTCGTTCTTACAAATAGTGGTCCATTTTCTGCAAGGCCTCAGCGCGAAGGGTCTGTACCTTGCCCTCTTCAGGCTCGGCTTCGGCCCAGTCTAAGGGCAGCCACGGGAGGGGAAAGGGACGCTCCAAGGCCTCGTCCAACCAGGACCATTCTCGACGCCGAATGGATTCCACCCGCTGATCGTACCTTTCTTTCTGCAGGGCTTTCCACCCTTCCTCGCCCAACGCACGTTTTTTCTCGTGAGCAATTTCTCGCCGCCGTGCATTCAATCGTTCTTTGTACGCTTCATACTTCCCCTGGTCCTTCATTTTCTGCACCCAGTTTTTTTGGCACTGGGCGTTTTTGCGTTTGACCTCATTTCGCTGCTCTTCGGTCATGCCATGGTAGCGTCGAAACCCCTCCTCGGTTTTCTTGGCCTTAAAGGCCTCGTATTCTCCATTGGCTCTCATACGGGCCATCCGCTCGTGGTAGCGACGACGGTGCATGGCCTTTACCTCCTCAATCCCATTGGGGGCCGCATACAGGCGCTGCCGATATTGTTTTTGTTGTTCTTTGGTTCTTTTAGGGTCCCGTTTTCTCTTGGGGGGCTGGTGCGATCCTGGTGTATCCATGCTCTTGTTCTAATACTCGGGCCGCACACACGTCCGCCAACGCACGTAACTTTCGAAAGGGATGAGGTGTCTCCCGAGCCCGGGCACGACGGTCCCGTTGCTGCTGCACAATTTGATCGCGGTGTCGACGATAATATTGACGGTTCAGCGCCCGCACTTGGTCTCCGTGCGTGGCTCGGTATCGGTTACAGGCCAACCGATTCAATTCTCGGGCTCTGGCAAGCTGTTCCTGGGTCGGAGGCGGTTTAGGCGGTTTGGGCGGCTTGAGCTTTTTCTGAGCTGCCCGCTTCTCCCGTTTCTGCGTCGCAATCCTCTCTCTATGTTTCAGGTACCACCGGTGCTTGGCCTCTTTCACTTTTTCAGGATCTCGATTGGGCATTCTCGAACACAACTGACGTCTGGTCTGGACGAGGGTCTATATCTAGACATCTCTCCACCAATCACCGATCTCGCTCCAGGCTCAGCGGAGACTGGAGAAAGTCTGTACCCATGGGGGGCACCCCCCTCAATCCTCCTCCTGTCTATTCAACCCCTCACCTGACTCTCACCTGACTCTCACCTGAGTCCTCTCCACCAATCCCTGTTCATCTGATCACGTGTTTTTAGGTCTATAAAAGCCAGCGTCTGGCGCGGGAAAATTCAAATTGTCTCCTCCGTCATGGCGGAGGACCCCTGGTATCCTGACAGTGACGAGGAGGATGCTCTGTTGAACCGCGCCTATGACCGGTGGGAACAGTTGGGAGGGGCCGCTCCCGCCCGAGGCCCTCTCTTTCAGTTTACCATGCAACCCATTGGTCGACGACGCCGCTGGCGCAATGTGGTGGAGCGGGCGCAATTCAACGCGCAATTGCGTCAATTGAGGGATCCTGGTCCTGGGGATAATATTGGCATGGCGCTCACGGAAGCATTACACCAAGCCATTGAAACAGAACTCGACCGTGAACAGCGACCCGCCCATCATTTTGTGAACTTTGCCATTACAGCGCATGGGTTCACCCACGCGTATCAAACCGCCAATTTCACCGTGGGGGAATTTTTACAACGTACCGCTCGTTTAGATGAGATGTTAGCTACCTTGGCGGGAAAATTAAACAGCAATGAAGCCTTCAACCCCGATCGCGGGTTCCAAGTGGATGTGGTGTTTGTCTCCATGCCCGGCCCGGGGTCTGGTCGACATAAACAACGCAATGTGGGACGTTTATGCCTAGATCGAGTCAACAAGAAAAAACAATGCATCATTTCTATTAAAAACAGAGATACCCTATGCTGTGCCCGTGCCATTGTCACCATGCGTGCTCATTGCCATAAAGATCAAGGCGCGGACAGGTTTCGCGACTGGGAGAATCTCAAACGTGGGCTTCCTGTGCAGCAACGTCAAGCCCAGGCCCTTCATCAGCAAGCGGGAGTCGCTGAGGGTCCCTGTGGTTTACCTGAGCTTCGCCAATTTCAACAAGCCTTGGGGTCTCAATACCAACTCTTAGTCATGACCCGGATGAAACCGTTCTTTTTGATCTTCAAAGGGCCCACTGCCCCTCATCAGATTCGTTTACTGAAATCCAATGATCATTTTGATGGCTGCACGTCCTTTCCTGCGTTTGTCAACCGCTCCTATTATTGTGTGGACTGTGAACGAGGGTTCAACACCGACGATCGAACCCATCACACTTGTCAAGGAAGACGCTGCTCCGCGTGTGGACGATTTGATTGTCCGGAGTATGTGCGCAGCACCCGCCCCACCGAGTATTGCAGTCTGTGTCACCGCAAGTTTTACGGCAGTCAATGTAAACGTTATCATGAAGTCAGCAAGCAATGTCAATCCATCAAAACGTGTCTCAAGTGTCAAGCCCAATACACGGTTGTCCGCAACCAACGTCACCGGTGCGGGTACGCCAAATGCCCCGCGTGTCAGGAATGGGTACCCATTCAGGACCATCAATGTTACATTCAGCCTGTGACGGATGAGCATGAGGAGACTGAACCCACAGAGGAGGGGGGAGGTAGCATGGTGGCGCCACCCCCTCCCCTGTTTGTTTACGCAGATTTTGAAGCCATGCAAAATGCAGAAGGCGTGTTTGTAGCCAATTTGTTATGTTATTCATCGAGTGCCGAAACGACCATTCATGTGTTGGACGGAGAGGACTGTGCCCTACAATTTTTGCACGATTTGGATGATCTCACCGACGTTCCAGATTGTGAGGAGGAGCGATCGATTCTCGTGGTGTTTCACAATTTGAAAGGCTTTGATGGTATGTTTATTCTCCATGAACTCTACCAGCAACAACGCGAGGTGGCGGATCAATTGACAGTGGGAGCCAAAGTCCTATCGTTCAGGAGTGGACCGATCAAATTCATTGACTCGCTGTGTTTCTTGCCCATGCCACTGGCTTCCTTTTCCAGTACCTTCAATTTGACTGAGTTAAAAAAGGGCTTCTTTCCCCATTTGTTCAATACCCCCGATCACCAACAGTATGTGGGCCGCATCCCCGATTTGGAGTTTTATGATCCTGATGGTATGATGACCAAAAAGAAACAGGAACTGACTCGTTGGCACGCGGACCAAGTCCGTCGGAACGTGCCCTTTCATTTTAAACAAGAAATGATTGACTATTGCAAATCCGATGTGGCTCTATTGAAAGCCGGATGTGAAGCCTTTCAGGAAGAATTTGAACAGCAGGCGGGCTTCAATCCCATGGCCAAGTGCATCACCATTGCTAGTGCTTGCAATTTGTATTGGCGCAAGCATCATTTGACCCCCGACACCATTGCAGTAGAACCTCTGGCGGGTTGGCGAGGGGCCCAAGTCAACCATTCCCTCAAAGCCCTACAGTGGCTCTATTACCAAGAACACCTTATTCCCAAAGAGGGGGCCAGTGCTGATCGTATTCGTCACGTTCGTAATGGAGGCGAACAGTCGGTCCGAACCAGCGTCGACAGGCATTTCGTCGATGGCTACGATCCCCTGACTCGCACCGTCTACGAGTTTCACGGCTGTCTCTACCATGGCTGTCCCCGCTGTTATCCCGCGAGAAACGCCAAACATTATGCCACGCCGGACAGAAGCGTGGAGGAACTGTATCAAGCCACGCTCTCCAAACGCATGGCATTGCTCCGAGCGGGTTATACAGTCATTGAAATGTGGGAATGTGAATGGGACCAACTAGTGGACACCGATGAAGCCGTCCAACGTTTTCTGACGTCCTTCGATTTGGTGGCACCCCTAGAACCCCGTGAAGCCTTCTTTGGAGGTCGAACCGGTGCCGTGGCTCTGCATGCTGTAGCTGGAGAAGGTGAGGAAATACGCTATGTGGATGTGACCTCTCTGTACCCATGGGTCAACAAAAACTGTCCTTACCCCATTGGGCATCCGCGGATCATCACACAGCCCGCTGACCAGTCCCTGGAATCTTATTTTGGTGTCGCTACTGTGGACATTCTTCCTCCCACTGGTTTGTTCCACCCTGTTCTGCCCGTGCGTAGCGGCCACAAGCTCACGTTTCCTCTCTGTCGTGCTTGTGTTCAGTCCGAACAGGCCCAACCCATGTTGACCCGAACCCGTTATTGCCCTCATTCCGATGCGGATCGCACGCTACGCGGCACCTGGTGCACGCCCGAATTGGTCAAAGCCGTCGAAAAGGGGTACACACTGATCAAGATTCACGAAGTCTGGCATTTTCCCCCCGAGCAACGCCGAACGGGTCTTTTTGCCGATTATGTCAACACGTGGCTCAAGTTGAAACAAGAATCCGCGGGGTGGCCCAGTTGGTGTCAGACCCTCGAGCAGAAACGCAACTACATTCTTCGCTATCAGGAACAGGAAGGGATCCGACTGGACATTGCCAGCATTGCCAAGAACCCCGGTCGCAAAGCCACGGCCAAACTCATGCTGAACAGTTTCTGGGGCAAATTCGGGGAGCGGATCAACAAACCCACCACTGTCACTGTCCAAGACCCCGCCCAATTGTTCAACCTCATCTCGGATGCTGCCCTCGATCTCAGCACGCTCCGCCTTTGCACCGATGATATCTTGGAAGCGGTCTACACCAGTGTCCAAGACAATGCTGTCAAAGGTACCAAGACCAACATTTTTGTAGCCGCTTTCACCACGTGTCATGCTCGATTGAAGCTCTACGAGTCCCTGGACACCCTTCAACAGCAAGTCCTCTATTATGACACAGACAGCGTGGTGTACAAATGGCGTCCCGGTCAACCCAGCATTGCCACCGGTGATTTTCTGGGGGATATGACCGATGAATTAGATGGAGACGTCATTACCGAGTTTGTTTCGGGGGGCGCCAAGAATTATGGGTACCAGACCCGTGGAGGCAAAGTGGTATGCAAGGTACGCGGTTTCACCCTGAACGTCCGTGGATCCGCCATTCTCAATTTTCAGACGATGAAAGAGAATATTCTCTCCGAATTAGATTCGCCCCAGGATTCTCGCCGCAATTTGAACATCACGAACCCTTATTATTTCAAACGAGATTTAGAACAGAAACAAATTCAAGTGGTTCCACGCGTGAAGCAGTATGGGTTGGTGTTTGACAAGCGCGTCATCGAGGTAACCACCCGATCCAGTTATCCCTATGGCCACGAGAGGATTGGACATGAACTCGGTGTGTTATTAGATTTGTAATGGGCGTGACGTCACTAGGGCGTCACACACGTCCCGCTTGTACCCAGGGCTCTACACGGTCATTAAAACTATGTCAGGAATGTGGATTCAACTCTTGTGTGCGTGTGTTCTTTATTCCTATGGGTCACGTGGGTCAAAACCTTGATTTGTGACGTCAATCAGTCACATGGGCCAAATGCGCGATTCTGATTGGTCGAGACAAATTTTGCTGCGCTCTGATTGGTTACTACCTGGTGTAGCCACTATGACTACTATTTTCCTAAGCTACTATTTTGAAGCGACTCTTGAGTAACAGCTCCTGTGTTCCACAATCGATTTCTTGTTATTAATTTATATTTGATGACAGTAGTGATCCATTCAAAACAGAGAATGGCCATCACTCCATAAATCTAACTGACGATGTTGTTCACCTTCAAAGCCTGTTTAAAGTAAGACAGGAAGTTTGTTAAAGGGTGCATATAATGCTGTTTCCTCAAAAAATAAACACTTCTTCTAAACGACCCAAATGAGCTGGGATGCGACAACAAACGTGACACAAATGGATGCATGAATTTGTCTATTATTAATGTTTCTGTTGAGAGCTTTTTACTGTATCCAGATGAACCCCTTATGTCAGTTGTACATCATGGAAGAATTATCAAACAGAAACTGATGCATTAAACAAGAATGTGGTTCATTACAGAGGAGAAGCTGGTCTCAGTCAACATCCTTCGTGAATGAAATGTCTCACAAATTAGCATATCAACAAATGTAGTATCCACAAAATAGTATCATTTAGAAATAAATGCGATTTTTTTGCAACAGAAGCCAGGATTTATTCAAAAGGTGTATTAATAACGTTTCATTTCGTGCTATTTTGGGGTTGGGGAGTTAGGCTAGATTTTCTTTAAAACGCCAAAATGTTATATTTATTTGCATAATAAATGTAAACAAACAGTGTACCATCAAAATAAGGTGGAAAAAATCAGAATTCAAACCGATTGGCGTAATTTTTTTTCCTTTGTATAACTAAATGATAGAATATTCTTATTTTCAGACCACAATCTTACTGGCATCATTATATTGATTTAAATTTATAGTTGAAGTGCGTGTATTTTATTTCTTAACGAAGACGTACCGGAGAAGAAAGCTAAAATTACTGCAGAAGGCGATTTTTCACAGCCTTCATCAAAGCGCCATTCATTTTCGGAAGTATTCTTAGTTTCATTAATCATTAACTTAATTTGGGGAGAAAGGCAAGATTTCGAGATAAACAAGCCAGAGAAAGGGCGAAAAACAGTTTCACTGCAGAATGGACACTTAATTAACCGCTGTATTCCTGAAATGATTAAGTTCGATTTTAGAGTTATACTAATGCGAAGAATTAAGTATCTATAGGATAATTGTTTAACGAAAAACTGTCATACTGACCTTTTCCTCCTGCTCAAAAAATGTGCGCGAAATGTTAGGTGGTAAGAACATTCAGCCGCCATCTTGTCTTCGATGCACTGTTTTACGAAAGGAAAGACTGTCCTCTCAAGGGCTACAGCGAGTCTACAATAAACTCACTTTCATCGTAGAAATACCTCGATACCTTAAATAACATGTTTGTGGAACGTAGCATCCAATGTACGTCATTCAGCTCCAGAAAACAGCCTGAAAATGCTGGTACTGAACGTAAACAATTCACAGAAAGTGCCTCTGTGGCACTTCAACAGCCTCTATTGACGCATGCGCATACAAAATGCCCTCCTGTTCCCTTTTCCATAAATCTGTTCAGTAATCTCTGGCACGCCGTCCGCGATGTTCACGAAATAACTTATTGAAAAGCTCCGCTATTTGTTTCTTGTCTGTTATTACGACATCGTGTTCTTTTAGTATTATGTCATTAGCTTGCGTACTTTTCTTTGAATGCAAAAATGGGCGGTATGTGTCCCAAAACTCCCTTGGGTTTTCCGACTCACTTTTCTTGTCAAAGAAAGTTTTAATAGCTTTACGTCTTAGAGAAGTGCAAATGTTCCTTTGCCTCTTGTACAATTCATAATTAGTATCAGTTCTTTCACGAATGAAGCACTTCCACAAACGGTTCTTCTGACGAATAGCTCTGCGCCATTGTTCATTCATAAAGGGAACTTGATTTCCCTTTATGCGGACCTGTTTCAAAGGTGCGTGCTTACAAAGAATGTCCTCATATAAACAATCAAACACGTAGAGCCTATCATCAACGTCGTCAAATATTTCAGCTACTTGGAAAGGAACATTATGCAAATCATGTAGAAAATGCTGTTTATCAAAATTCTTAAGGCTTCTAAATCGTATTTCCCGAGATCGTATTCTCGGTTCCGATGCTCTGAGAATGGCAAACACAAGAGAGTGATCACTTATTTTAACATGGACTACGCCCGATGACTGTATTTTCTTCACGTTGTCAGTGAGAAAAAGGTCCAGTAGGGTTTCTGATGTTCTAATGA